TTTTATCTTTTTTCATTTTTGCCCAAAAGAAAAGAAAAAGTGAGAGCATATTTAAGAATTAAAGAGAAGCCATTATTCCTACAAAAAGAAGCTCCTTCCCCTTTCTAGTAAGTGCGTATTTTATTGTTATTATTATTAATTTTTTTTAAAAAAAATGTTACTGTAGGTGACCCATTGATGTATGGTGATGAGTTTTGAATGCTTTGTGACTGTGAAACTTTATTTTAAGCAACCCATTTTGTCATCGTACATGCTACAATTGTTACAGACAATGTTTTGTGAGAGCCCATTTTACAACTAGCTTTGTTCTTTAGTGGTTTATCCTGCCAACACCATTTTCTTGGTGTTTTTCTCGTAGATTATCTTGCCCGGGCCCGGGCCCCTCTTTTATTTCCAAAGGGTTTCTGAATTTTTTTTGAGTTTTTTTGATTTTTTTTGGCATTTTGCTCAGAAGGGCTACTTACATAACTGAGCCCAGATAATTAGCTTAGCCAAGGAATGTGTTTTTCATAATTTTGTGACGGCCCGTGATGGATATTGAAAGCTGGAGCCCTGAAAATCGTGTAAAGGTGAGACCTTTATGCCCAGAGAAAGAAAAGAAAATTAGAAGAATTAATTTTATATTTTATTTGAGCTCTGTGCTGATTTTTGTTTCCTATAATTGATTGTTATGTTGTTTGTATTATTAGAAGGAATCATGGAAGACAGTATTAACATTGGCTTACCAGAGCTTAGGGGTTGTGTATGGGGATTTAAGCACTTCACCTTTATATGTCTACAAGAGCACTTTTGCAGAGGACATTCAACATTCAGAGACCAATGAGGAAATATTCGGAGTTTTATCTTTTATTTTCTGGACCTTAACTCTGATTCCTCTGCTTAAATATGTCTTCATTGTGCTTAGAGCTGATGATAACGGTGAAGGGGGCACTTTTGCTTTGTACTCCCTTTTATGCCGACATGCCCAGGTCAGCGTTTTACCGAACGGCCAACTTGCCGATGAGGATATATATGAGTACAACAAAAATGATATCGCATCTGGTAATAATAATAATAAAGGTTTTGGTAAGAAACTGAGGTTAACTCTTGAAAAGCATAAGTTGCTCCAGAGGATGTTGCTCACTTTGGCTTTGATTGGGACTTGTATGGTTATTGGTGATGGAGTTCTTACGCCTGCAATTTCTGGTAATAAACTTACCCCTTTTTGTATTAATCGTCTGATAATGTTCATTTATTCGTTAATAATAACTAAGTCATAATTTTTTTATTTGTATTTTTCTGTTATTCTTGTGTGTGTGTGTGTGTGTGTGTGTGTGTTCGCAGTTTTTTCTGCAGTATCTGGGCTGGAGCTTGTTGTTTCAAAGCATCATCACCATTGTGAGTCTTGGTTCCTAATTATGTTCCCATTTTTTCTTTTTTCATGATTTGATTTGAAATTGTTCTTCTATCTTTTTGTACGGAAAGTCTTATGTCTGATCGGATTGCTATTAATTTTTCTTTCGGTCCACAAAGTCTTCTGCTTTAATGGAATCATAGTAGGATTTCTCAAATTCTACTAATGTAAAAATCTCATTTGTACATGCATGATTTTGAAATTTCACAAATGGGATTTAGATATGTCAACACAAAAAGAAAAAGGAGAAATTATGACTGAGATTGGACTCTAAAGAAAGTAGTTATGGTTTTCGGCTTTTGTTTAGGATGTGCCGGCATTTATTTTATTTTTTTCTTTTTCTTTTTTTTTTAAACAAAATGCAATATACTGTGGCTATGAGATCTTTTCTTCTTGTAGGATAATGTTCTTTGCTAATCAAAGTCAAATCATCATTATCCATATAAAGTAAAAGTTCGGTCACCATCTTCTTTATTGTGGCAAGTATAAAGGGTATCTATCATACATGGAGATGCAAGTTGACTAAAGCTAATTAACAGTGCCATTAATTTAAGATTTCTGTCGAATTAAATGATTTTCTGGAAAGCCTAGTACATGTAGAACTTGAATAGACTTAATGAGAACAGTGAACAAGAAGCATTACTAACGAAAAAAGACGAGTTGAAACAATGAAGCAAGTTACATCAGAAGAGGTTCATGATCTGTTTTTATGGTTAAATAGTACAGTATGGTTCGTTTTGGTTAGTATATTTATATTTAAAACGAATTATTTATATGTCATGCAGATATAGAAGTTCCAGTGGCTTGTGTAATCCTGCTGTTCTTGTTCTATCTTCAACATTACGGGACCCACAGGCTCGGAGTTATTTTCGCTCCGATTGTGATAACCTGGCTTTTCTGCATAAGTGCTATTGGCATATACAACATTTTCCACTGGAATCCACTCGTTTATAAGGCACTTTCTCCTTATTACATGTACAAGTTCTTGAAAAAGACTCAAAAACGAGGCTGGATGTCACTCGGAGGTATTTTATTGTGCATAACCGGCTCGGAGGCCATGTTTGCCGATCTCGGGCACTTCTCTCAGTTATCAATCCAGGTCTTGATTGTGATAATTTTCAACCGCGACATTCGAATTGGTTCTTGAAATTTGATCTAGTTTGACTATGTTTGGTAATTAAATAAGCTAGCTTATAGCTTATTTGATTAGCTTATAAGCTCCTTGTATGCAAAGAGCTTTGTTTGGTATTACGATTTTTTTTTTTTTTTTTAAAGTTCAAGCTTCTCTGATAAACTTCTTCTTCAAATCTTTTCAAATAAGCTCGTTTGAAATTTAATATTTGAGCTAGCTTATCAGTTCATTTTACCAAACATTTTTATCATATAAGCTAACTTTTCAACTGGAAGCCATAAGCTCGAAAATCACTTGTAAGCTTATAAGTTAGTTTTATCAAACATAGCCTTAGCCGATGTTTTGTGTGTTTTGTGCTCCACAATGCAGATAGCCTTTAGCTTCGTAGTCTATCCATCCTTAATCCTTGCTTACATGGGACAAGCTGCTTATCTATCCAAACACCACGCAATGGAGAGTGATTATCATATTGGATTCTATGTATCAGTACCAGGTATAGTAAAATTCGATAGATTCATTCAAGTTGAACATAACATATACAAAGATTTTTTTTTTTTTTTTTTTTTATTATTCTTATAATGAAGTCCATTTTGTTTCTATTTATAATGCAGAAATGCTAAGATGGCCAGTTCTTGCAATTGCTATACTCGCCGCTGTTGTGGGAAGCCAAGCGGTTATAACCGGGACTTTTTCCATAATTAAGCAATGTTGTGCACTGGGCTGCTTCCCTCGGGTCAAGATAATACACACTTCGTCTAAAATGTGCGGGCAAATTTACATTCCTGAAATCAACTGGACTTTGATGATCCTCTGTTTGGCTGTCACTGTTGGATTTAGGGACACGAAGCACATTAGCAATGCATCAGGTAAACCATAGCTCGATCAAGCTTTACTAGTTTGCATTGTTAATACGGAAGATTTGCAGTATTTTTTTTGCTCAATGTAAAATAAAAAAAAAAAAAAAAATCAGCCAACCTTCAAGCTTTGATTGGGCCTCTAAACGAGCCTAGCTTGAGCTCGAGCTTGACTCGTTTATCAATATTAACGAGCCGATCACGAGCTTTAACGAACTGAATTATACAAAATTATATAAAAAATTTCTTTTCGAGTCTTTACAAGCCTTGTCAAGCCGAGCCCAGCTCGTTAACAATATGAACTTTAAGCGAGCTTGAGCCGAGCCGAGCCGAGCCCACGAACGGCTCGTTTCGTTTGACAACTCAAGCTTTGATTAGGCCTCTAAACGAGCCAAGCCAAGCTCAAGTCCTTAACGAGCCATTAATCGAGCTCGAGCTCGGCTCGTTTATCAATATTAACTTGCCGAGATTGAGCCTTAATGAGCCGATCTCAAGCTTTAACCGAACTTTAGAAAATTATATAAAAGTTCTCTTTTCGAGTATTTACGAGTGTTATCGAGCCGAGATGGGTTAACGAAACGAGCTCACGAGCGGCTCGTTTTGTTTAACAACTCTAGCTTTGACAATAACGAAGTTCACGCCTTCTTTCGGCTCGAATTAATGCATTTTACATCTATATATATCCTATTTTACTGGCACATGCAGGTCTTGCCGTTATAACCGTCATGCTCGTCACGACTTGCCTCATGTCCCTCGTCATCGTCTTGTGCTGGAACCGAAATGTCCTTTTCGCCCTCGCCTTCATATTCTTCTTCGGCTCTGTCGAGGCCCTCTACTTCTCGGCCTCCCTCATCAAGTTCCTCGAGGGCGCGTGGGTCCCGGTGGCCCTCTCCCTCGTCTTCCTCGCTGTCATGCATGCGTGGCACTACGGCACCCTCAAGAAATACGAGTTCGACGTGCAGAACAAGGTCTCCATCAACTGGCTATTGGGCCTGGGCCCGAACCTCGGCATCGTCCGGGTCCACGGAATCGGGCTCATCCACACCGAGCTCGTCTCGGGTATTCCTGCCATTTTCTCCCACTTCGTGACGAATCTTCCCGCCTTCCATCAGGTTCTTGTTCTGTTCTGCATCAAGTATGTACCTGTGCCACATGTCAGGCCCGAAGAGAGGTTCTTAGTGGGCCGGGTCGGGCCCAGCGAGTATCGGGTGTACCGCTGCATAGCCCGATACGGGATCCGGGACACGCTCGTGGACGATGTCGAGTTCGAGAAGGACCTCGTGTGTAGCATAGCCGAGTTCATCAAGTCAGAGGGCGGGCGCGGCGGGCCAGGGTCGGAGGCCTCGTCTACCGATGGAGAAAACGAGCGCAAGATGGCTGTGATTGGGGCACATTTGGGCCATGACAATGATGATGAATTGGGCCCAAACCCGGGCCTAAGGAAAAGGGTGAGGTTTGTTGTACCGGATAGCCCGAGGATTGATCGGGAGGCTCGAGTGGAGCTGCAGGAGCTTATGGAGTCACGGGAGGCTGGGATGGCGTTTATACTAGGGCATTGTCATGTGAAGGCGAAAACGGGCTCGGGATTGATAAAGAGGCTCGTGATTAATGTCGGGTACGATTTTTTGAGGAGGAACTCGAGGGAGCCGACGTACGTGTCGAGTTTTCCACGAGCGTCAACTTTGGAGGTGGGGATGGTTTATCAAGTGTGATTAGGTTGGATTAGGTTCTGTTTTGTGTTGGTGTAATGTAAAGGTAACTTCTTTCTACTTGAGTTTGTGTGCAGATGGTTTGGTTTGGTGTAGTTGGCTGTGAACACTGAACAGATTTTATGTAAATTATGATAGATTTATGTGTTTGGTAATTATGCAGGTGAATTTTGAGTTCTGCAAATTCTGGGTTTGGTCTCAAGAATTGTTGAAATATGCAGAGTTTGGTATGTATGAAAAAAAGAAAAAAA